CAGCGCTTAGAGATCTTCACACAGCGTGAAGTCTCCTCCTCCCTTGTTCGTGGAGTCCTCCAACTTGGGCGGAAACCACTCAAGCCTCTTATACGGCTAGCAAGCCAATCACTAGCCGCTACGGGTGAATAAATTAAAACTGTCCAATAATGGGACTCGAATTAGCATACAAATGGCGGGAACTCTTTGCAACGAGCATTTCTGTGCTGCAACAAAGAAATGCACCCTGCAAAGAAAGCTTCAAATTGGCGGGAAATTCTCCCTTGCACCAGGGTTCTCTTTTGCAGCAGAAAACTCCACCGTGCAAAGAAGCTGCAATTTAGCGGGGACAATTTAGCAGTGCCGAAGCACACACAAAAACAAAAATCACACCCTTTGGGTTGTGACACTATTCCCCCCAGCTGGGTGTCATCTGGAAACTTGCTGAGGGTGCACTCGATGCCATCTTCCATGCCATTGATGAAGACATTGAACAAAACCTGCCCTGGGACCAACTCCTGGGGCACTCCACTTGATACTGGGTGCCAACTAAACATTGAGTCATTGATTGCTACCCTCTGAGCCCAATGTTCCAACGAGTTTTCTATCCACCTTACAGTCCACTCATCCAGCCCATACTTCCTTAGTTTGCCTGCGAGAACATTGTGGGGGACCGTATTAAAAGCCTTGCTAAAATCAAGGTACACCACATCCACCCGTCTCCCCACATCCATAGAGCCAGTTATTTCATCATAGAAGGCAATCAGGCTGATCAGGCATGACATGGCCTTGGTGAATCTATGTGGACTTTTCCTAATCACTTCTTTCTTCTCCAAGTGCTTAGAAATGGATTCTTTAAGGATCTGTTCCATGATTTTTCTGGGGACTGAGGTGAGACGGACTGGTCTGTATTTCCCTGGATCCTCCTTTTTCCCTTTCTTAAACATGGGCACTTTGTTTGCCCTTCTCCAATCATCCAGGACCTCTCCTGATAGCCATGAGTTTTCAAGGATGAGGACCAGTGGCTCTGCAGTCTCATCAGCCAACTCCCTCAGCACCCTCTGGCGCATCCCATCTGGGCCCCATGGACTTGTACACGTCCATAACCTGCTCTTTCACCACTGTTGACTACTCACCTCCTCCCCAAACTGCCAGGTGCAGTAGTCTGGGAGCTGATCTTGCCTGGGAAGACTGAGGTGAAAAAGGCATTGAGCACTTCAGCCTTTTCTGCATCCTCTATCCCAAGGTTGCCTCCTACCCAGTTCAGTAAGGGACCCACACTTTCCATGATCCTCTTCTTGCTACCGACATACTTGTAGAAACTCTTCTTGTTACCCCTTACATCCCTTGCTAACTGCAACTTCAATTCTGCTTTGACCTTCCTGACTTCATCTCTGCATGTCCGAGCAATGCCCTTATACTCCTTCCTAGATTCAAATGTACAGGAAAATAATGACTGGAATATACTTTGACAAGCCTTTGGGTACCATCTACCCTTGCATATGGTTCTCCAATAGCTTCTGGACCATCATGACTGAAACATCACTTCATCACTATCATGAGAATAATTGGTCTGGGCCCATCTCCAGAAATGGTATGGGGTTTATAGCAAACCCCCTCACCCCAAACTAAACTTTAACCCTACCAAAGTTAAAGAGGGTTATGCAATTGATTTAGATGGGCCTGGGATTTTAGCTTTAATTTATTAAAAACATGCTGCTCCAGAAATGTGAAGAACAGTAGAGTGTTTTTCATGGACAACTGCTGTAAAATAACACAGTGAACTTAATCCTTTGTATATTCTGCAAGTGTAATATCTAATTCCCAGTCAATGGAAATTCCCAGTGAGTATCTGAAGAACAGCCTTACTGTTCCCGGGGCTATTTCAGTCAGTGATGTAGTGTGCACATTGTCAGAGATACATTTTTGCTACAATAAGACACTGTACAGAAGTTCCTCTTTTATTTACTTAACTTGATTTCTGGATTCTTGTCTGTTTAGGATCCTATGTCAGGTGAAATCTTAGTTCCCATTACCTCATATTGCCAGTTGTGCTTTATGGATAGCTTCCCAATTTCTTTTGAAGGCCAAATCCTTCTTTCAACCCAACACCTTGCTCCCAGTGCTCTTCCTAGCTAGTTCTAATTCTCCCCGTACAATCCTCTTTTGCTCTTTTTCTTTTCTCCCTCTCACTGGTTCCCCATTCCTCATCTCCATCTCTGTACTCTTCATCCACACACACTCTCCATCACATAAATTTCCTGGCTCTTTGACTCAGTCTCCTTTCTCCCTGGCTTCTTGTCCTGCTTTCTTTGGCCAGTCAGTCCAAGTTCTCTCCCATGCTCCAGTGTCTTAGTAACTCTGTCTCTGCACCTCATCTCCTCACTTTTTCCTAGTCCTAGTTTTCCAACTTCTCTAATTCCCTGTCTCATATTAGTTTTTCTGTCCCAGTTAACTGGACCCCAGTTTTGCCATTTTCTTTATTTCTCCCAAGCCATCATTTCTTTTCCCAGTTTAAATCTCTCCTGTTCTTTCTAGTTCCCAGTCCCAGTCTTCTTGTTCAATCAGTCCCAATCACCATTTTTGTTTCTGCCCGAACAGCCAAGAATGATAGCCATCACAGGAAAAGTTCAGCTTCAGCTGTAATGCTGGGCTTGAGCATGATCAAATGCTCTGGTGGAGCAGGGGTGGAGTGGTGGTGCAAATACAATAGAGCTGGTAAGAAAATGTTAAACTGTTGAAACTAAAATGTTCAGCAGAAACATTTCAATGAATTTCCAACCAAAGCAGGTAAATTTCAGTCTGAAATCTCTCTGGCTTCCTGTCTAAGTGCTCACTTCCTCCGTTTCTCAGCAACCTGTCCAAGTTGTTGCTAGAAGCCCAAGCTCTCAGACTTCTTAGTTGCCCACCAAATGAAGAGCTTCTTGGGTGCCTAAAACTTGGCCTAACTTGAGCGGGGGGGGCCCTGACCCTTACATCCCTCTCTCCCTCTCCCCCCGCTGTGGCCCCAGCATACGTCACTGGGCACATCTCCTTTTTGAAGTACTAAAACATAGTGCAGTAACTGCCTGTACTGTGCTGCATGGGCAGCACACACTTAAATTTCCCTATGGCACGCTATAAGCAGGGAGCATGCTGCTATGGCGATGTAGCTAATGATCATGTATAGACTCTGTGTGATTGCTACATCGCCATAAGGCAACATGTAGATGTATCCACTGAGCCTAAACAGGTTGAGAATCACTGGATTAGAGTGTACAATTTACAGACACATTGCTGTTACACGAGGGAGATCTGATCCACATAGGGTTAGGTGTCATATGTTAAATACATGACTTCTTTTATTGTTAATGACAGCTAGCCTTCTTCTTCCTCTTCTACACTATAAATTAACCTTTCTATAAAACATGACTGTTTTATATGCTTGTATACCAAGGAACAGTGCAGTACAAACTGTACCAAGCTCTATGACAGGATATGCCAGTGCTACTTGTAGGATTACTTAAGCTTAGATGTAGCACTCTGCTAATGTGACTAAGCCAAATTGGTGCTTTTACATGAGATTGTGTTCTGCTGTGTAGACGCACCCAATAAGTCTTTACAGCAAAGACTTTTGTCTACTTTTTTTGTTTCTCTTTTTTTGGGAGGGTGTGGGAGTAAGGTTTTAACATGATCTCTTTTTTTCCCCTCAACTTACTTTGGTATATTTAGGTTAGGTAAAAAGTCCCAGAATGAACTCTTAATCAGATTTGAAAATCTGCATATGGGTACAAGCAGGGTCATTTACAGTTGCATCTCATATAGCATAATATTGTATTTGTTTAGTGTCTGCATTGGAAATTCCTTATATATCTATAAGTATTGTATTGGATTGTAGGATTAAGGCCTAGTGTGTGGGGAGAAAGCAGGAGCAAAACATATATTGAATCTTATATTTGTGCTGAAGTAGAGTAAGTAAATTTTTATGCATTTTAATTTTCCTTTATAAGTAGAAGATTAAAACAGCTTTATCTTGTCCCATAGGTACAAATAGTACTGTATCTGCTGACTGCTGCTACTGGGGTAGAAATCTGGCACAGGCCTATCCTGTTTGGTTATTACATTGTAGATATATTGATACTCTTGATTATCGGTAAGTCTCCAGAGTTGTGAAAACAAATACTTTTTTTCATAACCTATTTTATAGCATATTTATTGCTTTTTTTCTTGCATTAATACTTCTCAGCGACTACAAAAAAGGCATGTATTTAGAATTGTTTTTATAAGGTCAATAGTGGTATAATTTAGAAAATCTGCTACAAAGAAATGGGAAACTTTCTCCAAAATTTTCCTCTTTGCATTCATTCCTTCTGATGCTTACTAACTCACAGCTGACAAACTGAGGATCTTTAGGTCCATCAAAATGCTGGTGCTTTTGACTGTCTGACCTTCCAAAAACTCAAGCGTAGCTAATGGCACACAAGTAAAAGACGACTTGCATATATAGCATAAGCATAATACTTTAATCCATGGTGCAATAGGTATTACTGATCCAAATCATGTTGAGAGAGGAGAAATATGGTTATCTCTTATTTTTTTAAAATGTTAATTGACAAAACTGTAAGTCTGATCAGCAAGCTATTTGGATTTTAAATTTGAGTTATATAAAATGCTTGTGGAACACAATTGATACATTTCACTTCCTCCTTCTCCATGGTATTATTTAATAGTTTCATAGATTCATAGTTGGTAGGGTTGGAAGGGACCTGAGCAGATCATCAAGTCCGACTCCCTGCCATGGCAGGAAAGAATGCTGGGGTCAAATGACCCCGGCTAGGTGATTATCTAGCCTCCTTTTGAAGACCCCCAGGGTAGGAGCGAGCGACACTTTCGTTGGAAGTTGGTTCCAGATCCTAGCCGCCTTGACTGTGAAGTAGTGTTTTCTGATGTCCAGCCTGAACCTACTCTCAATCAACTTGTGGCTGTTAATCCTAGTTATTCCTGGTAGTGCTCGGGGGAAGAGGGACTCTCCAGTTCCCCACTGGTCCCTCCTGGTAAGTTTATAGACGGCCACCTGATCCTCTCTCAGCTTTCTCTTGTGGAGGCTGAATGGGTTCAGGTCCCATAGGTCCTCTTCGTAGGACCTGCCCTGCTGCCCCGACTATGCAAGTAGCCCTCCTCTGGACCCTCTCAATGCTGGCCACATTCCTCCTGAAGTGCGGTGTCCAGAACTGGATGCAGTACTCCAACTGCGGCCTGACCAATGTCACATAGAGGGGGAGGATCACTTCCTTGGACCTGCTCGTGATGCATCTATGGATGCATGACAAGGTGCGGTTAGCCTTAGTGACCTCATCCTCACATTGGTGGCCCATGTTCATTTTGGAATCAATAATGACTCCAAGATCCTCTTCTGTCTCTGTGCTGATGAGAAGGGAGTTCCCCAGCCTGTAGGTATGCTGCTGGTTCTTCCTCCCTAGGTGCAGTACCTTGCACTTGTCAGTATTGAATCCCATCCTATTCTCATCTGCCCACACCTGTAACCTATCCAGATCTAGTTGTAGCCTGTCCAGATCTAGTTGTAGCCCTTCTAGCGTGTCCACCTCTCACCACATCTTAGTGTCATCCGCGATTTTGAACAAGGTGCTTTCCACCCCCTCATCCAAGTCACTGATGAAGATGTTGAACAGTGCGGGCCCGAATGTCAAGCCCTGCAGAACCCGACTACCCACATCCCTCCAGGTCGAAAATGACCCATCCACCACCACTCTCTGAGTGTGGCCCTCCAGCCAATTTGCAACCCATCTGACTGTGTAGGCATCGACGCCATAGGCACCTAATTTTTTAAGGAGAATGGGATGAGAGACAGTGTCAAAGGCCTTCCTAAAGTCCAGAAAGACTACATCCACTGCAACACCTGCGTCTAAGGACTTTGTGACCTGGTCATAAAAGTCAACCAGGTTGGTCTGACAGGACCTGCCCCTAATGAACCCATGTTGGTTGTCCCTAAGCATAATCTCCCCTGCTGGTCCCTTGCAGATGTGCTCCTGGATAATTTTTCTCAAAGAGCTTCCTCAGGACCGAGGTAAGACTAATGGACCTATAGTTTCCCGGGTCCTCCTTCCTCCCTTTTTTGAAAATGGGGACCACATTGGCCCTTTTCCAGTCCTCTGGCACCTGGCCAGAGTACCACAAGTGCTTGTAAAGTCATGCCAGGGGTCCCACAATGACCTCTGCCAATTCCCTCAGCACCCTGGAGTGGAGATCATCTGGACCTGCTGATTTAAACACATCCAGCCCCACCAGAAGTTCCCTAACTAGGCCCTCCCTGACTCTAGGCCTGGCTGTGACTCTCCTGAGTACATCCAGGATCCCAGTGAGGGGAATGTCCCAGTCCCTACTCAGAAAAATGAAGGCAAAGAATTTGTTAAAGAGGTCAGCTTTTTCATCTGGTGCAACCAGCAGATTGCCAAGTGTGTCCTGCAGGGTCCCCATGTTACCCGGTGCCTTCATTTTACTCCCTATGTATTTAAAAAAGGACTTCTTGTTATCTTTGATCCTGGTCGCTAGTCCTAGTTCTGTCTTTGCCTTAGCCTTCCTAACAGCCCCCCTACAGTCTTGAGCAATAGAGGTATAATCCACCTTGGTGATGGCCCCTCCCTTCCACCGGGTGTACACCTCCTTTTTAGCTTTGAGACATTCCTGGATGCTTTTGGTAAACCATGGGGGCTTTTGAGCACTCTTGCCCCCTTTGATTTGCGTTGGGACTGTCACCCTTTGAGCTTGGAGGATCATCTTCTTAAGGAACAACCACTTGTCTTGAACTCCCAACTCCCCTACCCTCCGGGACCTCAGTGCCTCACTGACTAATCTCCTTAACTCGTTGAATTGGCCCTCCTGAAGTCAAGAGCTGCTGCCTTGCTGCAGGCCTTGGACACCCTGTGCTGAATGGTGAATTCCAGTAGGAGATGATCGTTATTGCCCAGGTGGTCAAGAACCCGCAGTCCCCTCACCAGGTCATTGCCTGTGGCCAGGACCAGGTCCAGCAAGGCATATCCTCTGGTGGGACTCTGCACTTCCTGGGTTAGGTGGAGGTCCTGTATCTCAGGTAGGAACCTACATGAGATGTCAGACCTGGCTGATGGCTCCTCCCAGCAGATATCCAGGTAGTTTAGGTCATCCATGATGACCACGTCCCTTGACTTAACTGCCTCCATGAGCTGACCTGAGAATTCTCAGTCCAGCTCTTCCCCCTGGTTGGGTGGTCTGTAGTAGACACCCACCGTTAAGTCCCTTTCCCCATAACCCCCTTGTATTCTTACCCAGAGCACTTCAGTCTGCCCCTCCTCTGACTTGGTGCTGTTTGTTGAGGACATGTATTGCTCTTTGATGTACAGCACCACACACCCACCTTTCCTCCCCATTCTATCCTGCCTGTACAGTCTGTAGCCCTTGATGTTTACTGCCCAATCATGGGTTGAATCCCACCAGGTTTCAGTGAGCCCCACTATGTCCGGGTTTGTGTTAGCTAGCAGGAGGGCAAATTCCTCCCGCTTGTTCCCTATACTATGAGCATTAGTGTAGAGGCATTTAAGATCTCCTATGGGTGCATGCGCCATCCCCCTGATCCTAGGACTATCTGGACCCCTGCCACTTATCTGGGTACTTCTTGTGCTTGTCACCTGTCTTGGCTAGGAAGTGTGCTCGTGTTCCCCTGCGGCCCCATCCCCTATAATCTTATAGCTCCTTATTTCATGCTGTTATGCAATTCCAGGACTTAGCTAGAATGTTAAGAAATGAACCTGTACATCGTGTTCATTTTGTTGCATTAGGTGTCTGTGTCAGTGAGTTAATTAAAAATAGAAGAAGATGTTCTTGTTTCAGTGAACTGTTTAGCACATCCAGTTTAGAAGTGCTCCTTAGGAAATATTTGCATTCTCTGAGCCAAATAAAGTTTGTGTACAGGTTTAACAGTGATTACACACTAGTAGCTCTGTAAATTTATCTGAGGGGAAAATTTAATTGTGTGTATTAAATACACACACATTCCACCTTCCCTCCTTTTCCAATCTCAAAAGATCGTAAGTTACCATCTTCACCCTCAATTTTCTATGCCAAGATTCACAGATTATAAAGATATAGAGGTTCTTCAGGTAGTCCTGTACATCACGATTTAGAAAGCATGTATGTGTTTCTTTTTTCCTGCTTTATTTAAAATGTAGAATTGTCCAAGGATTGCCAAAACTGTGTAATGTGTAATACATCAGATCCATTACGTAAGAGTTTTGTGCATGCTGAAGAAAAAAATTATTAAATGGACATAGGCAGATCCAGAATATTGTAAAGAGGAGTGCAGGAGCAGTGATTGGTACTGTAGAGGTAGCTTCATCCCCAGCTTCTATCCCCTTCTCCCCTCCCCCCCAGGGTGGGCAGACTACACTGTAGGAATGGCAGCCAGGTATGTTTTTTAAGTCTTTGAATCAGGTAAGATTATTTCTTTCCTCCCCCTGCTTTTGGCAACCCCTCTGTCCTCCTTGGTGCTCAGTGGCACTTGTCCTCCCCCACCTTTCATCCCATTCCATTCCCCTCCTTATCCATCTGCTGCTGTCTCTGGGTGACCCCAGGAGTGGGGGCAGCTTCAGAGCTGCTTCTGCCCTTCTCCAGCTGGGCTCAACTGCAGACAGTGGTGGCAGTGGTGGTGGGCAGGTTTCCCCTCCCTGTGACTGCTGTCTGGGAACATGTGGGGGATCAGGCAGGGAGGGGGATCCGGCTAGCTGCTGCTCTCTCTGGCTGATCTTGGCTCCTGGCACAGCCCATCTGGAGTGGGGCAAGAGTAGCTCTGGACCTCCCCCTACCCCCAGGTCAGCCAAGGACAGTGGCAGTAGCAGGCAGGGTGGGCGGGGAATAGAAAGGGGGATAGGTGCCGCTGAGCACCAAGGGCAAGGGAGGGTGGGATTCTTGCCTACTTTGGGGACTTGATTTTTAAGTCCCCAGTTGCTACTCCCATGGCAAAGTCTGAAAGGGGGTGGGGGATGCAACCATGCCAACACACCCTTTCTGGATCCATCTCTAGAACATGGCCTAACTTGAGCAGATTTACAGTAATATCCCACAAGCATGCTACAGTAATAGCCCATGAATTAGTCAATTCAT